GGGGGGTCTAATGAGATCTAAAGAGAAATTTACACTGTTAAAAAATCTAAAGAGTTATTTACACTGTTAAGAGTTGGATTATTATGCACGTGTGCACACTCAGTGACCCAAGCGAGAGCACGCCGCTTAACGTGTTTCTTGTATGGTTACGGAAGTCATCGGCAGTGCCGCAGTTACTTGCTCGAGAAGACTAGGATGTTCGAGAGGAACTACACTAGCCTGTCTCCGGCTGGAGAGAGTAGCCGCTTGCTCCTGGTAATGACGCTCTCGCAGTGTTTGCATACTCTATCACAGATCAAGTGAAATAAATGCAATATTTGTCAAATACACACGTTTCAGAAACGTTTTCATAAAGCAACAGAAACACTTTTTATACTGCTTAATACAGCGCCATCTGTTCATGAATAAGTTCAACATTAGCATATGCTATTTAAATACCAATAAAGTGGGGGTATATATGCTTTAATCAGTGTTTTTTGAAACGTGACTCAATATAACAGTGTGACTACACTAAAAATGCTGTTACTGTTATTATACACAGATTTGTGAGCATCATTGGAATTGAATTGTTATAATAAGCAGGCAACACACGTCGTGCTTGTTATAACAGAATCTAACCAACGAGAATAAAGTGTGTCATCATCAAGGTTTTCGAAGTAGGCTTGTTTGAGATGAGCAAAATCTGTGCAGAACCGATCACCGGTGATCACCGCGAGATGCATGCCGGTTAGAAAAGTGTCCGAGTTACGTCCGACTTGCTCTGATGTCATGCTGACGTGTGCAAAAAAAACTCTTGCAACGGCGAGGCGGCTGTGTTGGATTGTGCAGTCGAGCACAGTTTCTCTCCACCATGATCAAAAGCATGATGGGAAACGACTGGCTGACGACACAGCTTAATGCTCATTGGTTCAGAGCAACCGTGATGCTGTGTTCTCTTCTAAAATGTTTTATTTATCTGGTTTCATGTGATTTAAGTATTTAAATTATGCATGAATATTCCCAAACATTATGACAGTGCGATCTCTGTGAGATATGTGATTGTTGTCATATTTCTATAAAAATCTAAAATACATGTTTGTATTAAAGTACAAATGAATGATAAATATGCCTTTCGTATGGAATTAAATAGCAAACACTTTGAGTGTCTTTTCATCATATTTATTTTAATATAAAGTCAACAGAACTGGAATTATATCATGTTAATCAGCAGCACAGCACATGAGTGAGAATAACGCGATATCTGTCTTTGATCTCGTTGGTATCTGTTCCACTTCGAGAGGTCAGAACTCTCCGTCTTGACTGCGTTTATTTCACTCCTCCCCTCACTGCAGCCGCCTGCTCTCGCTTACATTTCAGGCGAGGCGCATCTCAAACAAGCCTAGTGCGTGACCTAGGCGGCTGGTCTCGTTTTGCTCTCGCGATACTTTGATGGCACATGTGATCATAAGGTGGCTGCAGCGCCGATCAAAGTCGGACAAATGTTCTAACCAGGATACATTGCTTTTGACCGGCGGCAGCCGATCTTTGCGGCACCGCATGAAGTCGAACAAGCCTAAATATCTCTAAAGAGTGTGTTTTTTGGATGTGAGGAAAAGATAACCTTATTCAGTGTTATGTGAACAGTGGATGCAATTTGTTTTTCCAAGGCAGCAATGGAGTTTCTCAAGCGCGTTTGTTTGTTCCCGTCATTTCGGTGACGGATGTTTTATAACAAGGTACTGGATTTGCACATCGTTGATACTGAAAGACGGAGCAGTCCCAGCGATAAAAGATCCCGGTCATGACTAGGAACTGCTGTAAAACTGCATCAATGTCTATGTTTTGTTGCCAATCGGCCCGTAAGTGCTCGCGACTCTTCAGCTCCGCCCACGGCTCGCCTCCAGGAGCTCGGCTGTTTCCGGAGAGAATCGCAAAGCTGTATATTTCTTTTATTAATCTGATAAAACTTAAGACTTTTCGGAGAAGTGAATGATGCAATATACACTATAGGTATTCAAGATTAACATGAGATTGGCCAAAACTGTGTGTTATGTCTCCTTTAACCTAGTCAAGTCGACTTCATTTTTACAGCACTACAGCACAGATTTAAGCAGCAGGAAATAACGACCATGGTGCAAATTGAATCATTTCTGCTGCGGCGCAGCTCCAAGAGAAAATAGTAAACGGTCATTGTTCAGTTGACGTCGTCTGCATCCGAAAACCTAGGCTGCTGACATGCCGCCTCGCCGCCTATCAGCCAATGACTTCGCAGGCATATCGGACATGCTTCTGAGGCAGCTTAACGTTCAATGATCTACAACAAATCTAAATCTAATAACTAAGCGAATATTCAATGATTTATTTGATCAACCATCATGGGATAGAACACACAGGATTGTGGGTATCAAGGCAGCGAAGCAGGGGCGTAGCCATCATTTCAGAAGTGAGAGGGACAGAAATGTTTTATATATATATATACACTGTATGTATATATATATATATATATATATATATATATATATAATTTATAGAAATTAACACTTTTATTTAGCAAGGATGCTTTAAATTGATCAAAAGTGATGATAAAGACATTTATAATGTTACAAAAGATTCTATTTCAGATAAATGCTGTTCTTCTGAACTTTCTATTCATCAAAGAAACCTGAAAAAATTCTACTCCGCTGTTTTCAACATAATAATAATAATAAATGTTTTTTGAGCAGCAAATCAGAATGATTTCTGAAGGATCATGTGACTGGAGTAATAATGCTAAAAATTTAGCTTTGAAATCACTATAAATTACATTTTAAAATATATTAAAATAGAAAATAGTTATGCATCTCTTAGATTCATCTTTGAACAACTGATGTTATGTATTTATCTGAATTGGAACTGAATTTAATTCTGAATTGGCTTCTAATGGTTTAATTATGCAACTGGCATGCTACATTTTTACCTAACAAATAAAATGTTATATTTGATTTATTCTGATCTCTTCTGGAATCATTATTTCTAGTAGATTCAATTGCCAATGGATGGACCATGGGGGAACACCATTAGGGGCTTCCAATTTCTGACTGTCACTGACTTAAAGTGTATTTTCTTTTTCATAATCACGAAAAATGCAACTTGTTGTGTTATTTGTTAGCAGGGTGCAGCATACTTAAAGGTAGTATAATCACCCTGCATCTTCTGAGTAAGATCTGAACTGGCGTGTTTGTGTCCATGCGTTCACTGTTGGCCAAGTGAATTACTAAGTGACACCGGGTCCTTAATGAACGAATAATTTAAAAAGTATGGGATATTAAAAATAATCAAATATCTAAATGAATACATAATTAATATTTGTGATTATTTTTTCATTAGAAGTACCGTCTAAGTTTAATGATCACTTGAAATTCGGTCAGATTAAATACAGAGCTAGACTAAAATTGAAACTACATTATGATAGATTAAGTTAACTTTGCAGAAGCACGAGTAAAAGTCATACATGCACTATACCTTCACCCACCAATTGGTTTCTGTCGCTGGGCCAGTTTGAGTGGATCCTTACACCTGTGTCTAGTTTAGTTGTGCATTATCTTGTTTATTTAAACTCCTTGGTTTTTTCAGGTCATGGTGCATGTTTGTGAGCTGGTTTGTGTTTGTATTTTTCTTCATCCTTGGACCCTTTTGGACAAACTTCTTAGTTAATTTAAATAAATACAAACTTGCTGCAACTGGATCCACTCTTCCTTCCCTGCATTGCTCTAACAGGTGTTTAATGAAGAATTGAATTACTGAAACATACATTTAAAATCTAAAGGAAGGCCATTTACTTTGTTTTCAGTATAGTTGTTTGTTTTATTTTCATAGGCTATGGGAATGTAATCTCACTGCTCAGTCCTGTGGAAGTTTGTCTTCAGTTTTACAATCGTCAAACTCAAACATCCTGAGAGAGCTGGATCTGAGTAACAATGACCTGAAGGATTCTGGAGTGAAGCTGCTTTCTGATGGGCTAAAGAGTCCAAACTGTCAGCTGGAGATTCTGAGGTAAATGGTTTCAATAAAATAAATATTTTATATAATTACACAGTTGTAACGGGGCTGACGAGACGTGAGACGTGTAGATCCATCTGCAAGCTTTATTTCAAGAGACGTGGTATAACAGGCAGGGTCGAACACTGGCAAACAGGTATATGGCGGGCAGAAACTCAAGAATAGTCCTAGGGCTAGCGTAGGTCACAGAATCACAGGGGCGAGACGAGAGGGAGAAATCCAGGAAAACAGGCAAAGATCAGAAACCGCAAAAACAGGCAAGGCAAAACAAGGAAACCACGGAGACTCGGAAAGGGGTACAGGCTAAACAATACTCTGCAGAGAAAGGTGGTTAGAGTGGGTGTTACTTAGTGAGTGAGGTGATTAGAAACAGCTGTGTGCAATGAGTGCAGTCAGTGCAGTGTGCAAACTGTGCAATGAATGATGGGATATGTAGTCCGGGTTCTATGCAACAGTTGGTGTTGTGCGAGAGTCAATGTAAAGGAAAGGGTGACCTCTGGTGGTGAATAAATGGAAGTCCATGGACCGAATTCGTGACATCAGTGCAGCACTATGTTAATTTACAAACATGCAAACAGCTCATGATCCAGTGTTTTCCATGTCTTTCTGGATTTGAAAATGCAACATGCATCAAACATCCGCCCTTTTATTTGATTGGCCATCCTAATCACCAGTTGACCTTGACATGTACTTTAGACAGCTAAGGCAGACCATCTTTTAAAAAGGAACATTTTAAATGTTTTTGTAATCCAAACAAAGAGATAATAGGTGCTGTTCAGCGCTCATGAACCCACCCGAGAGCAGCCTCACCTCGGCCAGATCTTCTGGAATTTGCTTCTAACTCTGGTGTCTCCTATAGTGTCTCTTAAACATGAGATATCATTTGTTTTGGATAAATCTAACGGGCACAACACCTTGTAAGACATAGCCAACAAATGCACTGAACAGGTGGACATCATTGGACATCACCCTTAACAGATGAAGGGATAGTACAACAAAGATATTGCTTTTCTCGGCGGACATTCAAACTAACTAATGTTTTATTGTGAATATGAGATTGAGCTGAAGAATGAATGCTGCATTAGAGGCAGGTAATCACACTCGTTCAGTCAATCTCTCTCTTATAATACTCTACTCCACATAATACACAGCTTTTAATACAGTAATACAATAAGCTTTCAATGAAGCAACTCCATGTAGCTTCGTTACTAGTTCTAAAGTGGCATTTTGGAATTAGTAACAGAGGCTTGGGCTCAGCTGGAAAACTTTCAAACTGAGATTTGAATCCATGGTGGAAGGAAAGGGTTCACAGAAAAGTTACGAGTGTGATAATGCTCATATATAATTATATATATTTAAGGTAACACTTTAGAGTAAGGTTCCATTAGTTAATGTTAGTTAAAGTATTAAATAACATGAATGAACAATACATTTATTACAATTTATTAACCTTTGTTGATGTTAGTTAATGAAATTACAGTTGTTCATTGTTAGTCCACAGTGAATTAATTAATGCTAACAAGCACAACTTTTTGATTTTAATAATGCATTGGTAAATTTTGAAATTAACATGAATTAAGAATGAACAATACTTCTTTATCATTTATTCATCTTAGTTAATGTTAACTAAAGTAGTTAATTAATGTCAACTAATGAGCCTTATTGTAAAGTGTTACCATATTTGGTTATTTAACTAAAATACAATTTTGTGAGTTGAAAAAAAAAGTCAGATGTAGGACAATAGAAAATGATGTCAAACAGATAAAAACAAAGTTATTTTTCTGGTAACACCAGTGACACAACTCCACTGCGCTGCCATTTCCATCATATAATTTATAATGTGCACATGGCATTTCAGATTTTTTTCATATACATTTATTTTTAACACAAAGTATGGCTCTAAACCTAAAGAAATTACCATACAGGAATAATTCATGGCTGAAATTATTATAAATGTGTGAAAGAGATGTCAGATTGCCATGTGAACTATTGCTGTGTTTTCAGATTGTCTGGCTGTATGGTAACAGAGAAAGGCTGTCGTTATGCGTTTTCAGCTCTGAGTTCAAACCCCTCACACCTGAGAGAGCTGGATCTGAGTTATAATCACCCCGGAGATTCAGGAATCAAGCTGCTCAATGAAAAACTGGAGGATTCAACTTGCTCACTGGTCAAACTGAAGTATGTCCAGCAGGAAGATTTTAGATTTTACTATTTTAACTCTTCAGTGGCTATGTGCTATATATATATATATATATATATAATGAAAGTCAAAAATCCAGTATCTCAAAATATTAGAACATTTTCTAAGATCAATTTAAAAAAAAGGATTTGCAAAACAGAAAAGTTCAGGTTCTTTAAAGTATGTTCATTTATGCACTCAATACTTGGTGGGGGCTCGTTGAGCACAAAGTCCATCAGTGAAGTGTGGCATGGAAGCGATCAGCCTGGGGGCATAAAGGGCTCCAAAATCTCCTGGTAGATGGCTGCATTGACTTTGGACTTGATAAAACACAATGGAGCAACACCAGCAGACGTCACGGTACCCCAAATCATCTCTGACTTCAGAAACTTCACACTGGACTTCAAGCAGCTTGGATTCTGTGCCTCTCCAGTCTTCCTCCAGACCTTAATTTCCAAATGAAATGCTAAATTTACTTTTATCTGAAAAGAGGACTTTGGAGCACTGAGCAACAGTTCTTTTTCTCCTTAGCCCAGGTGAGATGCTTCTGACGTTGTTTCTGTTTCAGAAGTGGTTTGGCAGCCCTTTTCCCGAAGACGTCTGAGCGTGGAGACTCGATACACTGACTCCAGCTTCAGTCCACTCCTGAAGCTCTCCCAAGTATTTGAATTGGCTTTGCTTGACAATATTCTCAAGCTTGTGGTCATCCCTGTTGCTTGTGCACTTTTTCCTATCTAATTTCTTCCTTCCAATCAACTTTGCATTTAATATGCTTTGATACAGCACTCTGTGAACAGCCGCTCTTTCAGTAATGAGCTTCTGTGACTTACCCTCTTTGTGGAGGGTGTCAATGATTGTCTTCTGCACCATTGCCAAGTCAGCAGTCTTCCCCATTATTGTGTTTCCAAAGAACAAGAGATACCCGCAATTTATACTGTAGGTATTGTCATTTAATGACACTCAAATGTAAATATTCTATTATTTTGAGATACTGGATTTTTTACTTTCAAGAGCTTTATTTACATATATACACACACACTTTTTTAAGTATTAGCAAAACAACAAAGTTAATGCTTTTCACGGAACTTATGTAATACCCATCATAAATTGTGATATAGCCTGGTTCGTTAGTCCGTTAGATCGGATTGCTTTCTCACTACAACCGAACTGCTCCAGAGTTCGTTTTCAATCGAGCCGAGACCACCTCGTTCAGGCGATCTCGGACCGATTGTTTTGGCGCGGATTCAGACACGATTGCCGTGTTCACATATGCCCAAACGAACCGAGGTAAGGGGGAAACGCGCCAGGTTCCCAAACAACGAGCCAGGTGTGAAAGCACCCTGAGTCATGCAGGCCTAGTTCTAACACATATTACGGCACCATTGTAACAAAAAATAGGAAAAGTTTGAATAATACATTTAATAATTTGCTGATGCATATCAGAAGGTCACGCATACTAATTGGCTATCTGTCCTTTTTTGACATCTGGCGATCTATTTTGACGATCTATTCCCGTATACAAAGCCCTGCTCATGACATGCCAAAATGGTTATACCCGTGAATGATGAAGAAGAGCAATAAGACGGCATTATAAAATGAAGAAGAGCACTTTTTTATTTTGAATGGCGAAGACGTGCTCACCCACAGACATTCACTGGTTCATTTTGAAGTATTAGCAAAACAACAAAGTTAATGCTTTTCACGGAACTTATGTAATACCCATCATAAATTGGGATATATCCTGGTTCGTTAGTCCGTTAGATCGGATTGCTTTCTCACTACAACCGAACTGCTCCAGAGTTCGTTTTCAATCGAGCCGAGACCACCTCGTTCAGGCGATCTCGGACCGATTGTTTTGGCGCGGATTCAGGCGCAATTGCTGTGTTCACATATGCCCAAACTTATTGCTGTGTTCACATATGCCACATATGCTAAAACGCATACTAATTAGCTATCTGTCCTTTTTATTGACATCTGGCGATCTATTTTGATGATCTATTCCCGTATACAAAGCCCTGCTCATGACATGCCAAAATGGTTAGACCCGTGAATGAAGACAACTTTTTATTTAAAAAAATTAATAAAATGCCTTCATGCCTGAAGACAGCTAGGGCCAACCTATCCCAAGGCATCAGAGAGGCTTAGGCCCTGTCCACACGAACATTTTTAAAAATGTATTTTTAAAACCGCAGCTTTTTCTACGTGGTTAGGCCGTTCGTCCACACGCAAACGCAGCACCAGTTCACCGAAACTGAACATTTTTGAAAACACCTGCCAGGGTGAAGATTTTCAAAAACACCAGTTGCAGTGTTATCGTGTAGACAGAGTTTTTGGCTTGTGACGTCGGTGCCTGCGCTGTTATCTCCGCCTACTAGAGACTTTTTCAGGCTTCTGATTGGCCAACATGGCTTTACGGTTGAGATTATATCACCACCTGTTGGTTTGGCATGCTCTTGACAGTGCTTCATAGCATGCGTTTGAATTTTTCCTTCTACCACCCAATTTAGTTACTGCAGTCACTACTAACAAGCTGATGAGTGGAATCAGGTGTGTTAGATAAGGGAGACATACAAAACGTGCAGGGCAGGGGGGCCTCCAGGACAGGTTTGGTAACCACTGGTCTAGACGTTTTCAGCGAGGGCCTAAATTCAGCATGGGAACATAATCTAATGCATAATAAGGTTATTCCCCTTATTTGTTTCAAACAAATATGTGAAAGATTATTTGTTATAAACTGCAATCAGCTATATAACATCTAATGTGTAAATTAGGAAAATCATATTCTGATAATACACATCCAAACCTCTTCCAGAGACCTTGGGATTGTTAAGTGATAGTTACGTTCTCTGTGGTTGAGTGAGCAGTCTGGTGGCGGTGACTTCATCCACTGGTTGTGCTGTTAACAGTGCAGTGGGGAAAGGAGCAGGAATCTGATTCAACAGTCTTGAACACGAAGCGCTGGAGGATGCTGATCTCCTGGAGCACCAAAGGGTCCTAAAATCTGGAGCACGCAGATGTGGCCCTGGAGTAGGTGCAGAAGGTCCTTAGCCTGGAACATGCAAGCAAAGGTACCTTGAAGTGAAGGTTTGCTCGCCGGACCTTAACTTTGTTGCAGATGTCTGTGTGTCTTCTGCCTCTCTGGGCTAGAGACTCGGAACTTGGTCAATCCACTTTGTCTCGCTAGGATGGAAGCTCAGAATGTGCTGCATCTGTTGTTGTCTTGCTGGAAGAAGACTCTAAACGTAGAATATCTCTCTCCTCAGGCTGGAGACTCAGAACGTGGTCGTATCTATTGCTGCTTCACAAGCTGGAGACTGAGGACTTGGTATCTGTTAATACCTCTTCTCGCATGGGCCAGAGGCTCAGAACGTTGATGTTTCTGTCTCTCGGAATGGGAGACTCAGAACGAGTGTATTTGCTAGTGTCTCACCTTTGCAGGCCGGAGACTCAGAACGGAGGTTGATCTGTTACAGTCCTTTCCTTGACGGGACTCAGACCTTCGGTGTTTCTGTTAGTGTCTCTCCCTTTCGGTACTCAGACTCAGAACATGGATGATCTGTTTCTATCTCCTACCACGCAGGCCGGAGATTCAGATAAAGGTACCTTCCCAAAAGACACTCCTTGTTCTCTTTCCGATGAGGAGGAGATTGCAATCTGGCACTTCTCCATCTCCAGGCTGTTTCCATCAGAGTGGGGGGACACGGTGTGGCCCACCCTTCTTTCCTCCTGGGGAACTTGTTTGCATAGTCCAAACACACATTTAGAAAAGTGTCAACCAGAATACATTTGGCAATGTTCCGAACACATTAAGCCCAAACATGATGGAAGAAGATTGAACTATCATGCATGCATTCATTTGTCCATTAACAGCTGAGTTTGTGTAAGATGTTGCCCTACACATCGCTGTCACTAAGAATACTTATTTCTCTGAATAAATATGAGATGTGTGTGTTGTAGTTTGCATCAGTTTAAGGTTTGAGAACATAGTTATGAATGGAGTTGGATGGAACTCTGTGATCTCTCTTTGTTTCACCCACTGCTGCTGCATCCAGAGGTCCTAAGGAATTTTTATGGTGGTCACAAGCCAAAAGCCTTAGGGATCAGTCTGTTGGTGTTTGAAGGGCAGAAAC